GATGTAGTGATATCAATACAGGAGATTTTTTTATTATTATGAATAATAATCCCATTCGTAAGGCACGCACTAAAGAGCATACTCATTTCCGCTGTTATGCGTCATGCACTTATATTGATCGAAATTAACACACAATTTTTTTTAACCGGGACGAAATTCGCGGGATCGTGTCGTGGAAATTGCTCAATTTTTCTGAAATTAATCGCCTGAAAGGATTTCAGAATTTAATGTACATAATTATTCTTTCGTTCAATGCTTAAATACTTCTAGTAATCCCTAGGATTATTCCTAGGGATCACTAGATCACAAAATCTCTACGAAATTTCTCGATCAGATTCAGCTTCACAGATTATTCCAATAATTTAAAAAAAAATCATTTTTCGATCTCTGCATAACGATACAATAACTCATCGTCGAAAAAATATACATTCTTCGAAACTCACGATCCCACGATTGCTCGTCGACTGCTTTCCCGAAACAAGTTTGGTCTCACCACATACACCGCGTTCGATCGAGACACATCACCTTCTGGTGGCTAAGAGAGGTAGCGTGAAACAGAGCGAAACTAAAACAAATATTGTGAGTGCAAGAAAAAAAAGAGAGAAAGAGAGGAGAGAGAGAGAGAGTAAAATAGTAGAGAAAACCGAGAAGAGAAAAAACAGCGTGTGCCTTGTTTCAAAACCCTTTAGTAGCCGAGGCAAAGTCGGAGGAGAAGAGCCAGAGGAAACTGGAAGTGGGTGAGCTAGTATGGGGCGCCGCAAGAGGAAGTCCGGCGTGGCCGGGCAAGGTCGAGTCTTTGGGCCCACCGGGCACCATGACGGTGTGGGTCCGTTGGTACGGGGGCGGGGGCGGTCGGAGCCAGGTCGAGGTCAAGGCTCTCAAGTCCCTCTCCGAAGGCCTCGAGGCGCACCACCGTGCGCGAAAAAAGTTTAGGAAGTGAGTCGCACCACCTCGTTAGGGGGGGATTTATCAGAAAATTGATTGTCGAGCCCTCTTTGGGACGAAGGGTATCGAGGGGATGAACGATCACGATTTACGGAACCTGATCGGTTCGTGAACCTGTTTTCCAATTATTTTTTTTCTTTTTTTTTTTTTTTTTGTTCAAGCGATTTTTAGAGCGGTTTCGATGGTTTTATCGTGTGAATTCTTTTTTTTTTTTTCTTTTGTGGGATGTATAGACACTCGTGTCGTTGCATGACCTTATTTTTTTTACTTACCCTGATCTACGGTCTTGGAATTTTTGTGTTTTACGAATTTTTATTATTACGAAAGATTCGTTATGTTTTTTTTTTCTTCTTGATAATTTTGTTTGGAAATCAAAGTTTTGAATGGTTAAAATGGAAGGATGAAGTAAGGGGATGAAAACTTTGTACGTAAAAAAAGATTAGAACTTTTTTAAATTTATTTAATTCATGTCCGCTACGCGGGAGAAATTAAAAAATCCGCTGATTTGAAAAATTTAACGATTCTGTTCGAAGGATTAGCGAAAATACTAAATAATATTTTTTACAAATCCGTTTTTCCTTTTCTGTCAATAAAATATTGCGAATTATTTTTAAAACCATGCCACCAATATCTGTAACACGATCGAGATTTTTTACAACTGAAGATAAATAACAGGATCCTGTTTCGTAATTTCGTTGTCGTTTATCCTTCGTATACCTGAAATTCGTAAGAAAAAAAAAAAAAAAAAAAGAAAAATATATAAAATTAATATAAGTGTTTTATAAAATCGATCCATTATTATTAACTAACCATAGATCTTATTCTTAAAAGATAAGATTTTTCAAATTATCTCGAATTTATAATTTATAATTGTGCAACTAGTAAATGTGCAATTAGTGGATCAATTTTGTAAAGCATTTATTAACAAACCAGCAGCTAATAATATCGAGTCTCTGTTAAATATGTAAGACAAACCCTTGCGTAGCTGCGATTTTTTAATCTCGCGATATTCGTTTTTACAGTAGAAGGCTTTTAAGATTACTTCTTTTAGAAAAATCTTTATTTAAGAACGCTTTCGCTCTATTTCTTTGATCGCAGTTGCGCGTTTTATATTTATATTCTACACTCTGCATATATATATATATATATATATATATATATATGTATATATGCAATTTTTATTATATATCGCTTTATTGCTGTTTAAATATATATATATATAAAATCTTCTTTGTCCAGTAGTAAATTCTTCGTAGTGCAAAAAAAAAGAAATTTCATCTCCACGGTTTGCTCGACGGTTAACGAGTATTGGTAAAATTTTATGAAATTCTTCTCGACGCGGGAGCAGTCTGCGATGCGTGAAAAATATTCGACGTGAACAAAAAAAAAAAAATGGACATGACAGATTTACGGTTGAGAATCTTTTAATAATAACGCCACTCGAAATCCGCTTACGCAGAATTCGACAGCCGGATATTTTGTTTGATTGGAACCAAGCTCGTATCAACAGTTGAAAAAAAAAAAAGCAATTATACGTTGAATTAAAAAATTTTTTTGGATCGACGATTAATCGAAATCTGAAAGAAATGAATAAAAATAAATGAATAAAAATAAAAATGGAAAAAAATATCAAACGTCGCAATAACTCAACTGTAACTCAAGATTCTCCAAATCTCACGCAGTTAGAATCGTTATTTCCAGCAACGCATAATAAAGGGTCTTCTTCTCCTTTTCCTGTTCCTTTTTTTTTTTTTTCTTTTAATCCATCGACTCGACTCACCTGTCCCGATCCTGTTTTTTTAACGCCGACCAGCAAAGTAGTGTCTCGTAGCTGCGTAGCGCATCCTAGACGTATCGCGGCTTTGCTGTTTGCTCAATTTGAAAATTATTCGGTTCGTACGCTCGTACCGATTCATTCTCACCACTAACCCCACGATTTTCTCGTTTGCCCCGTTCTTTTTCTAGAAGTCGTAAATTGAACATGCAGCTGGAGAACGCTATACAGGAGGCGATGGCCGAGCTGGACAAGGTGACGGAGTCGAGCAAGGAGCAGAAGATCGGTGGAAAATCGTGCAACAAGGTGAGCGGAAGCAAGGAGAGCGGCAACGCCTCGAAGCAGGATGGGAAGAGGTCGTCGTCGAAGAAGGCGTCTGTCGGATCTGTGAATCCTGTCGCGGCTGAACAAAAACAGTGTCGGTGATCCGTGTCGATGGATCCTCGAACGAGTCAATTTAGATCACGATGATAGACGCACTGTTCCATCTGTGAACGATAATCAAACGTGTTAATTTTGTGATCGAGAAACACCGAAAACTTCCTCTAAAAACAAAAGTTGTTTTTTAAAATTCTCGACTGACACGTGCACACGTACACAAACACATACATATACACACGGTGTTTCCGCTGATTTAAAAAAAAAAAAAGAGAAAAAAGGCGTGGAAATCTCGAGCGTTGTATTCGATAAAACGAATGTTTAATTGGAAAAATTTTTAATCGCGGATAATCCTTTTTAATCGGATGACAGATTTTAGATGAAAGGGATAATTTGTAATTCTTCTTGATAATGAAATTTCGGATCACAGTTTTGTCGGGACACAACGCATCGAGATTTTTTGAATTTTCCTAAAGCTTTACGAAGATTAGATTTCAAATTTTTCGGATTCGATATATAGTTATTCAATACAAACTTCTGTATTGCGATGATAATAATTGTGTAAAGTTGAATTGTAACTTGTATATTATAATTAGAATTGTGTAAAATTATTTTACATTATCTTGCGGATATGGAATGGGAGGATCGATATGTAATGAATTTTTGACGTTTGAAAATTCTTACGATGGCCGATATAATGTAATATAAAAGAAGACGGAAGTCGCAATACGGAAGTGAAAATTGTTGAATAAAAAAAAAAAAAAAAGAAAAGAAAGAAAGCGTAGAATATAAGCGAAATCAATTGTTGTATATACATTTTTCTTCTATTGGAGTAAAATAAGAATTGTTCAATTTTAGAAATTACAGGATGCTAAATAAGTATCATTCTTTCAAAGATGAAGAGGAAGGAAAAAAAAAAAAAGAGATCAGAATCAATATCCAGTGGTCCAGTTTATCGAAAACAACAAAATGATGAATCCATAACATTCGAAGAAATTATCTTACGGTTGCCCTGATAGAATCAAAAGTAGTTGAAAGTAGAGATTATATAAATAATACGTTTGACGTTTTTTCTCGCGATGACACACATTTATTTTTTATTTTTTTTTCTCCTGTAAATAGACATCGATCAAACCAGGAATGAAAGTTTTTAGAGATACCGATGAATTTTCTCGTTCAAATACATTATATGTTAATGAAGGAAGCGGAAAAGTCAATCGAATGTGATCGAAGCGACTGAATTATAGAAGTAACGAAAAAAAAAAAAAAAAAAAAGGAAAGAAAAGAAAAAAAAATGAAAAATATTACGCAATCGAATTAATAAAAGAAAAAAAGGAAACAAAAGATTTTTATCAATCGAAAGTCGGTCGAGGTACATATTCGACGTGATATAGGATTAATTCATCGTTATTTCTTCTCTCGCAATAATTTGCCGTTAGCGAGCATGATCAAGCGAAACGCCATTTTTCAGATTTGATTCTTTGCAAATAATCGACCACTCGCTAATTAAAAAGAGCAAATTGTTGCTAAACATTGCGCGTAAATCGCGTAAAAAAAAAAAAAAATATTCTATCCTCGACAATGGGCCCTGTTGAACGCTTAATTTGTTAAGAATATTTTTAAAATTTACTTGACATATTTCTGAAACGAAAAATTGTTGGATTTGCGCATCGTCAGATATTTTTCTTTAACGTCGGAATGAACAGAGAGAATGGAATGAAAATTGTAAAAAAATGTATTTGTAATTAGAGAAAGTCATTAGTGGTGAGAGAGAGAGGGAGAGAGAGAGAGAAGAGAGAGAAATAATAATTATATATCGACCTGTCAACTGGCGTGGAACTGGCCTAGAGTATGCATTCTTCGTGTTATTGCACTTATGCAATGTAAAAAAAAAAAAAAAAAAAAAAACTAAACGTACGGATAGTAAAATTCATCATGCTCAGAAACAGGTTTTCGTTTTCGAGAAAAGGAATGCATCGATTGTAAGGAAAGAAAAAAAGAAAGAAAGAAATACCATACGTGCAGACCATAGCTTTTTTCCTTAGTTGACACAATTTCTGTAACTGAACTATAGTAGATTTTAGCAGAGACGAGAATGTATTTTATTCACCGACTCGAACTGTAACGAAAGAGAGAGA